TTTAATAAAAATTAAAAAGAGAGAAGATACAAATATTTAAGGATAAAAATAAAATTTTAAGTTTATAAAAATTATATGTTAATTTTTATGAATTAAATTAAATATTATTATAAATATAAAAAGTACGTTCATTTGTACGGATTAAAAACTAATTGTATTTATAAAGGACTCGAGAGGAATTTCAACAGTTATAGGTTAAAAATTTGTCCCAAAAAAAAAAAAAAAGAAAACAGATTGATGATTTTGTTTTGTATGGTGTTCGGGGCATTCGATTGTAATTTGTCGTGTTCAAAAAGGTTAAGGCCTTCACTTCATTTTCTCTCTGCCGACGCTGTCAGTTTCTGTAAGTAAGCCCTCAGCACCCGGCTTATATGAAACGTCGTTACTTTCCATTGACACGTGTATCCAAACTTGTTTTCTTCCTTTCTTCCTCGTGGTCCCCACGTTACACAAAGGTTATGATGACACAGAAACTTGTGGTCATTGGGGACCAAGTGTCTTTTTTTTTTTTTTAAAGTAAAATATTTATTTTAATTTAAAAAATTGATAAGCGACAATTAAATTATAAATACATTAATTAATATTATATTATTTTTAATATTGTTAGCTTTAAAATATGTATATTAATTAATAAATTGATAAATTAAATATCATATTAAAAATTATTTAAATTTAAATATTATATTAAAAATTTATTATAATTTAAAAGTAATTCATGACAATTTTTTTAACTACTTATGGATGTTGTTTAGAAGTGATTAATGATTCAAATAAAATAAAATTTAATTTAATTTTTTTGAATAATACATAATATTATAAATTTTTTAAATTTTTTTAAATTTGAATCGATAATTTTTTAAAATCAATTCAATTTGAATCAAATTTTATTTATTTAGTTTAATTTCATCAATTTTTAAATTTAAATTTTTTTGCTTTTAAATATCATTTTAATAAGATTTTTAAATATATTTAAATAAATATATATAATATTAATTTTTTATAACAAATTAAAAATATATAATTTAATTTAATTTTTTATTTCTATATTTAGATTTAAAATTATACATTTAATATTTAAATTTAAATTAATTTAAATAAAAACTATTTTATTAAAATCGAATAAATATTATTATTTCAAATTAATTTTTAATTTTTATATTTGTTTCTCACCCCGAATATTGTTGCACTGTTGCTCTGCCGACCTCTCTCAAAAAGATTGAATGGTTCAAACATTGAATTCCATAAGAGTTATTTTCAGAAATATATATATATATATATATAAGGTGAATTCATATATAATAATGATTCAAACCAAATTTATAAGACTTCCCATTTATTTTCCCCGACTAATGTTGGGGTTGCTTGTGAATGCAACTATTGAAAATGAAAATGTCATGTGAATGTGATGTTAATGTCTCATTCACCGTCACATCCGTTCCATTCTAAATGTTGTCACATCTTCTCTCCTCTTCCGCCCATTTTTAATCATTAAAAAAGAAAGAAATTATGTCCTCTTTCTCAGTTTGTGACTCTGTATAGTGTACTGCACGCGCCACACATACCCCCTTGGCCTCTTCCTTGGCCTGCCATTGATTTTTTAATTACTACAGCTCATACGTAAAGAAAATGAAAGTCATAATTTCCGACTCTAACCAAGCTGAGAAGCTAGAGAGAAAATGAATCGTAGCCGTCAAATGGAATTAATTAAAGATCGGAGGGATTTCAAGTGGGGGCGCTCAGAATCGAACCAAAATGAAGATGATTCAATGAGATAATATGCATAAACCAAACCAATTATAGTCCATTGAATTGAATAAATTTTGTTTTTGTTGTAATCTAAAGACAAACAATGGAAAATATATTGTTTTATTTATAATATGATTTTTGAACAAATAATTTTGTTGCTGCTATTGTAGTAATTAATTAGTTGAATTTAAGTTGACCAAACGAGAGTTGGGACAACTAAGAAATTTTTGGCACTTTATAATAATATTATATTACAACGATAAAATAATTTTATTTATTTAATATAAATATATATATTAATTTTTTAATTATATTTAAATATTTAAAATTCATAATATATATAATTTACATAAATTGATTGACCATTAAAAAATAAATTTTTTAAAAATAGTAAAAAAAATTATGTCTCTCATTTGGATATTTTTGTTTACAATAATATTTATACACCTATAAGATTATATCAAATAAAAATAAATTATGCTTTTCTTAAAAAAATAAAAATATATACTACTAAATGATAAATTAACTAATAAAAGAAGTATTAGTATATTTTTACTTTAGTAATTTTGATTAAATTATTATGTAAAATATGAAAAATGTTAGAAAATATGTGAAAAAAATAAATTGAAAAAAATTATTTTTATCATAATGAAATTGTAATAATAATAAAATATATCATGAAAAAAATTATAAATAAAAAAATTACAATAGTAATAGAATATACCTTGAAAAAAATTATGTATAGCACATTATATTTGTAGTCTAAGAATTTTTTAGTGACAATTAGGATTAAATAGAAAATTTTTAAATTAATTTTTTAAAATTAAAAATAGATATAATAAATGATAAAGATAATATTAACTTTTTTGTATTTATTTGAAATATAAATTTGATAATTAGAGTTCAAATGGATATAATTGTTTTAATGACCTTATTATTTAAAAATTTAGGATGAAATTTGTTTGAATTTTTAAAATCTTACATAAAGTTGCTTCAATTTTTAATATCTTATGTAAATTTTTTAAATCAAGATAAAAAAGATTATTGAAAGATTTAGATAAAATTAATCTTTGTAATTTTTAAATATGTTTCAAAGATTTTCATAATTAAACAATTTTTTAAATAAGGTTATTTGGTAAACAACTAAAATTATTTATTCAAAAAAAATCCATATTTTATATTTTTAATTTTAAAAAATATATCTATTAATTGATGTAATTTTTAATTATAATTTGAATAATTTTCATATTTGAATAAATTTAAAATTATATAATTTATAATTAAAAAAATTATCTTATTTTTTAAAAAACTATTTTCTGTATCATTTGATATTGTTATATAATTGTTAATTAAAAAAATTATCTTATTTTTTAAAAACCTATCTTCTGTGTCATTTGATATTGTCATTTGATAGTGATGGAATTACCTGCCAATAGTATTTTTTATTTTATAAATTTTTTTCCTGTTTTGGAAATAAAAATAACATTTTACCATCATCTAAAGTGAATGCATTTTTATTTTTTAGTACAAAAAAAGTCAAGGTTTAACGGAAAACGATAAAGAAAAATTTATAAATATTAAAAATCAAATTTTAATTTATTTAAATTCATTTTTAAGGAAAATAAGTGAGTTATTTAGATTAAACTTTAAATTTGATGCATTTTATTTTTGTAATTCCTAAACTTATGGCTGCCAACTTAAATAAAATTACATCATGAAACAATACAATCTCCTTATTTTACTTAGCGGACCAATAAAATTAAACTTATCAACTTCAAGAGTAGTTCATATCTAAATCAATACATTGATTAAGCTTTGTTTCTAGATGCAACCACTTAGAAAAGGCATAATAGTAGTTAGCCCTTTGTGAGATAAGTTCTAAATCTCTCTTTCCCTTTCAATTTTTATGTCAGAAAAAAAAATTATCCAATTACTTGTATAATATTTTCATGTATGCTTCAAAAAGAAAAAAATGATGAAGAGAAAATTATGTGACAACTTCCCTCATTTTCTATCCTTAATTTGAATGGCTTGGATGAATAGAAAAAGCCCTGATTGCACATATAGAGACTGACATTCTACCATCAAGTAAAGAAAATTAAAAAAAAAAAAAAAGAGGCTTTGCTTTTATTTAAAGTTGTAATACAGATTTCCCATCGGATAAGTTGTCACGTAATTTTCTCATGAATAATTTTCTGTGCATGTATATGTTTAAGGAGGGTCGTACGTGTCTTCAAGTGAGCTAAGCTTTGCTTGCTGTCGTAGTTCCCAATTATATACGGCTTTTATTTTAGCGTCATAACAGGCCAACCGGGACTTCCTACATCTGTCATTTCATTCCGTCAAGTGATTTTGATAAGTCGTATATTTATATTATAAAAAATATTAAAAATTTATATATTTTTATTATATTTTATATAAAAATTAAGTATTATAATTTATTTTAATATAAAAATATAAAAAATATATATTTAATTTAATTTATATTTTTGATTAAAATTTTAAATTATATTATTTTTATTTCATATTTAAAATTATCAAATTTATAATTTCCTTGCTTCCTCTACTTTCTTTTTTCCATTAGAGTAATGACAATTACACAATTACCTAATCATTACCCAGCTCCATACCAAATCATATTATTTCGGGCAGTTAAATGATGTTTTATTTAGTGGTAAAACAACGTCTTGAAACTATAAGTTGGTTCAGTGGTTGATATTGTTTGTTTGATTTCATTCATTGATTTTTGTAAAAAATATTTAATCCAAGATTATTGTGTCCCCCCTAAAAAAAAGAGTAGAGGGTAGCAGTAATCACCTAAGATCTCCAAACAGTAATCATTCACAGGACAACAATCTTGTAGCTTGGATCTAGATCAAATCAAAGACACCAATACCTAATTACAAGTCTCAAACGAAGATATACTGAAAAATCCAAAGTAAAAGAACGGTCGAGATGTGACTGTCCATGGATGCAGCATGCCGCGGCGGCGCATGGTAGTAGACAATAGTTATTAAACTTATGAGCTGTAGTGTGACGGTGGTCCAAAGTCGTAACATATACAAAACGCAAAACAGAAACAGAACTTTCCAAACACCGCTTGGTACAGCTCAGCCGTTGCTTGTAGCACAAGAGTACACGACCCGTTTGTCATTTTTTACTTTCCCAAGGGTAATTGCGTCCAATCGGCATTACTTTTGGCCCTCAAATTATCTATAACCATAATTTTAAAACACAAAAAAGGTCAAGTTTTCGAACTTTAATTTTGCAAACGTTTTGCCTTTTAAGTGACACCTAAGTCCAAAATATTGTCCACCTTACCCAACTCCACCATCTCTTCTTCATCCTCCTTCGCCTTGTTTTCTACCGCCATTGCCATCGCTTCTTTTCTCTTTCACAAAACCTGAACATTAGCAAAAAACACCACAAGTTTGGATCTTAATCTTTAAATCTCAAACGACTCTTTGTTCATATCCAAACTCCTGTAGAAAGTTACATTTTTTAAGGTAAGTTCAAGTTTGTGTAAAAATGTGACTTTTAAAAAATATATGGTATTTTTTTTATTGATTCCTTTAGTTTATGTTTAACTGTGAATGTTTCATATTATGCTTTTGTTTTCATTTCTGCACTTAGTTTGTTTCTGTTATTTTTTGTCGGTGAAGTTTCCTGTTTTCGGATTTGTTCCACTTCAAGCCTTTTATGTTCTGTTTCTCTCAAGTTTGCTTCTTTAAATCTCATTGCCTTAAGTAAATTCCTTTTACATTTAACCGAATACTATGTCGTTTAATTGAGATGAAATGAGCTTTTGATTCTAAGATCTTTAGCCTTTTGATTGCAATTGAAATGGAGCCATTGATGAACTTGGTTGGCTTGAAAATGCAAGCTCATCTGATTCAACTGCAACACTTGAAACAGCGACGATCTTATCTTTATTCTATCACTTTTTTTTTTCCTTCTTGTTCTTCATTGTTAGTAGTACAATCTGTTTTGCACTTTTTTAAGTTTGCAATTTTTTCTATGTTTTCCCCTCGCATTATGATCTGTTTGGTGGCTGAGAAATGTGGGATGAATGAGAAGAAGATTTTTATCTAACAGCTGTGTTACTACTTGGCTTGGTCAAAGTGAATTTTAGTTTTTTTGGCCAATAAGTGAATTTTAGCTCACTGAAGATCTAAACCAGTAAATAATGTGTAATAGACTTTGTTCTTAGGATTCTTGGTGACAATAAATAAGAGAGAATTAATAATTTGGTGTATGTGTACCAAAATATTTTTCCATCAGTCAATGTTAAAGAAATGTTACCTACTATGATGATTAGTTGTCAATTTTCTGTTTCATATCTCAACAGCCTTTGATTCTTAATTCTTGTATTTCTTTGTGAATTTCTAAGACTTGGCATTAGTCTTTGGAGGGTTACTTCAAAGTCCTTAAAGACATTTGGTTTATTTCAACTCTGGATTTTCCAGACTGAATATGTGAGGCAATTAGCTGTCACCAGACTGTTTCTTTTATGGTCTTTGGATATTCTTTAAATAAATTGAATTTGGTTTGAAATTGTTTTCATTTCAATCAGAAATAAAATGTTGGAAATATATCTGAGAGTAATATTGCTAATATGATCTCAATCAGGTGGCTGCAACGTGTAGCCCTAGTCATATACAATTTTTTTTTTTGGGTTGGAAAGAGGCTGTGATGTTTAAAATGTAGTAGTTGTTTCAGTTTTTTTTCTTTGAATATTTTTTCTTAACAAATTATATGATCTTCTTGGTTTAGGTAATAAAGGGGATTTAAGTGATGGACCGCCGTTGGCTTTGGAAGAAAAAATCAGATAAAGCTGATAAAGCGGCTGCTGCAGCTGGTGCCGCTACTTTGGCTTCAGTTGCATCTCAAGTCGATCAGGTTAATTTTTTCTACAAAATTTTACTTAACTAAAACACATCAAACATTCTTACTTGGAGAATTTGTTATTTTCTTGTCATTCTGGATTTTTATTTCATGCTATAATCATTGTACATTATCTTAGATGAAACAGAGATCTGGATCTATCTATTATCTGAATTTTTGAGCTATTTGACCTGATATCAATGTTGTGGTTTTCTTTTTTGAACAGGATATCTACAAAAAGCCAAAGTATGTTCAAATTTCTGTAGAATCATTTTCACATCTCACTGGTTTGGAGAATCAAGTGAAAACATTTGAGGAACAATTTCAGATGTTGGAGGATGAGATTAAGGACTTGAATGAAAAGCTCTCTACAGCCAATTCAGAGATTTCTACCAAGGAGGAGCTGGTGAAACAGCACACTAAAGTTGCAGAAGAGGCAGTCTCAGGTTAGTCTATGCTTTGAAGTCTAATGTAAGACCATAGGTCTTCCAATTAATTTTGGTTTGAATTTTTCTTAGTCTATGTATCCGTTTTGCTATAGGTTGGGAAAAAGCTGAAGCAGAAGCCGTGGCATTAAAAAATCACCTGGAATCTGTTACACTTTTGAAGCTCACCGCTGAAGATAGGGCATCACATTTAGATGGTGCTCTTAAAGAGTGCATGTGGCAAATCCGAAATCTGAAAGAAGAGCACGAACAGAAGTTGCAAGAGTTGTTAATTAGCAAAAATAAGCAATGTGAAAAGATTAAGTTCGAGTTTGAAACTAAGATTGCTAATTTAGGCCAAAAGCTCCTTAAGTCTGAAGCTGAAAATGCTGCAATATCAAAGTCTTTGCAAGAACGTTCTAACATGCTGATCAAGATTAGTGAAGAAAAATCACAAGCTAAGACTGAGATTGAGCTTCTGAAGGTTAACATTGAATCATGTGAAAAGGAAATAAATTCACTGAAATATGAACTGCATGTAGTTTCCAAAGAGCTAGAAATTCGTAATGAAGAAAAGAATATGAGCATGAGATCTGCAGAAGCAGCTAACAAGCAGCATATGGAGGGTGTCAAAAAGATAGCAAAGCTAGAAGCAGAATGTCAAAGACTGCGTGGTCTTGTGCGGAAAAAGTTGCCAGGACCTGCTGCACTTGCCCAAATGAAGCTAGAGGTCGAGAGTTTAGGAAGGGATTACGGAGATACTAGACTAAAGAGGTCTCCTGTTCGGCCTTCTACTCCACACCTGTCCACAGTGACTGACTTTTCCCTTGACAATGCACAGAAATTCCATAAAGAGAATGAGTTTGTCACAGAACGTTTATTGGCAATGGAAGAAGAAACGAAGATGCTGAAAGAAGCTTTGGCAAAGCGTAACAGTGAACTTCTGGCTTCTAGGAGTCTATGTGCTAAGACATCAAGCAAGCTTCAAACTTTAGAAGCTCAACTTGCCATCACCAACCAGCAGAGAAGTCCTTCAAAAGCGATTGTTCAAATTCCTGCAGAAGTTTACTCAAGTCAAAATGCTAGCAATCCACCAAGTGTGACTTCTGTGTCTGAAGATGGAAATGATGATGACAGAAGCTGTGCCGAGTCCTGGGCAACAGCTTTGATCTCTGAGCTCTCTCAATTCAAGAAGGAAAAGAACACTAAGAAGTCCAACAGAACTGAAAATGCGAAGCACTTGGACCTTATGGACGACTTTCTAGAGATGGAGAAGTTGGCTTGTTCTTCAAGTGATTCAAATGCAAATGGTGCTATCACCATTTCAGATTGTACAAACAATAAGATAGCTGAAACTGTTAATGGTGATGCTTCAGGAGAGATTTCTTGCAAGGAACTCCAGTCTGAAAAGCAGCATAATCTGTCTCCATCTGTAAATCATGTATGTCCTAATATTGATTTGTTAGTAGTGTATCCAGAATCTGATGCAGACCAGTTGCCTCTAATGAAGCTTCGAACAAAGCTCTCTATGGTGCTTGAATCAATGTCTAAGGATCCTGACGTGCAGAAAATTCTGGAGGACATCCGACATGCTGTGCAGGATGCACATGACGGCCTGAGCCAGCACACTGTAAATGGAGTCTCTGAGGACATGCACGGCTCTGATAGCACATGCAACGGGCAGGCTTATCCTGGAGATGGTAGTTTAACTGCAGAGAATGAAATGGCTATGTCCCTGTGTGATAAGGTTACTACAGAAACTGTGCAAAGTATAAGTCAAGAATTAGCTGCTGCAATTTCTCAGATTCATGGCTTTGTACTGTCCCTGGGAACAGAAGCAAGGGCAGTTGATGACATATGCTCTGATGGCAACGGATTAAGCCATAAAATTGAGGAGTTCTCTGCCACCTACCATAAGGTCTTATGCAGCATTGTTAGTTTGAATGATTTCATTTTTGATCTTTCTACTGTTTTAGCTAAAGCCAGTGAATTAAGATTCAATGTGCTCGGCTATGAGGGTAATGAAGTGGAAATCAACAGTCCTGATTGCATAGATAAGGTTGCTTTACTAGAGAATAAGGTAACCCAAAAGGATTCATCGGGAGGAAGATATCAAAATGGCTATGCCCATATTTCAAATCCCACTTCCAATCCTGAGGTTCCTGATGACGGTAACCTGGTCTCAGACTATGAACCAAAACAATCAAGCAAATTTTCTTCAGAAGAGTTTGAAGAATTGAAGTTGGAGAAAGAAAATATGGAAATCGATCTTGCTCGATGTACTGAAAATCTGGAGATGACTAAGTCTCAATTATATGAGACCGAGCAACTTTTAGCAGAAGCTAGATCTCAATTGGCTTCTGCTCAAAAGTCAAACAGCTTGGCTGAGACACAGCTCAAGTGCATGGCTGAGTCTTATAGATCACTTGAAACACATGCAGAGGAGTTAGAGACTGAGGTGAACCTGCTTCGTGTAAAAATAGAAACTCTGGAAAATGAGCTTCAAGATGAAAAGAGAAATCATCATGATGCTTTAGCCAGATGTAAGGAGCTAGAAGAGCAATTGCAAAGGTAAGCATCAAACTCCTTTCATACGGTGTGGAGTTGCTATGAACTAATAGTTGTGTGGTTCTATTTTCTATATGCTTAGATATAATTATCTCTAACATAATTGTTTACCACCACGTTTAGGAATGAGAACTGTTCTGTTTGTTCTTCAGCCGCTGATAATGACCTCAAGAACAAGCAGGTGAGGCTATATTTTATCTTGTCTTCTTAAAATTGGTTTTTCCAAACCCACTTTGAAATCTAATATTACTGTTAAAAAATACCCAATATCCATACATCAACTAGCAGCAAAATGCTTTTACATTGTCCCATTTTCCTGAAATAAGAATCTAACATAAACGAAGTCCTTATGGTAGTTTCCAAAAGCCTTTACAGAAAGTTAAAGTTTTGCCTTTGAAAATTCCATGCATCCATTGTTTTTAAAGTTGATACTAGAGTGAGATTTTGCTAGAACCTTAAGTCAATTCGCCTGAATTTGAATTTTAGATAAAGATTTCTATTAGTATGAACTTACTACTTTTACTTTTATTAAGTTGTGTTGTCTTGTGTTACATATTTGTTATTTAAACTTTTTGCTCATTTATACATTGTTTATGCCATTACGGAATTCCTTTTAAGTGCTTCTCTTGGGGGCACTAAATCTTCAACTAATTTGTCGCATAAAAGCTAAGCTTGTTGACAATATAACTACTCTCCCAATGACATCAGTGGCAAACCAATCTTTCGTTCCCCATGTGGTCTCCATTTAAAGTTGACCATTACACCTAAAATATTAGGTTGCCAATAAATGGTTAATTTCTTCTTCTTTAATATAATATATTCACCTTAGCCAGATTTTACTGGCATAAAGCAGATTGTTTCTGTATGAATTTGTGACTTCATAGGATTTAGGCACAAAAAGATCATTAGAAGTCAACTGCCTTTAGAACAGAGAACTTAGAACAGATTTGCTGTGCTGCTAAAGTTAGTAATCTTCAACTGACACCTAGCACATCCAACAAATATATGATCAGTTTTCAAAGTTATTTTCAAAGAACAATCCTTATTAGCAAGGATTTCTTATTTGCAACCATGACTGTAGTTATGATTCATGCTAGCTGTAGTTTGTTGATAAGCATAATCAAATTTAAAGCACCTGACTTAAGATTGTTTCCGTCAGTCACAGGAGAAAGAATTAGCAGCTGCAGCAGAGAAACTAGCTAAGTGTCAAGAAACCATATTCCTTCTTGGCAAGCAATTGAAATCTTTGCGTCCTCAGACAGATATGATGGGATCAACATACAATGAGAGGAGCCAAAAGGGTGAAGGTTTCCGTGAGAATGAACCTACTACCAGCAGCGTGAACTTGCAAGACTTGTATGAGGCAGAGATAGACATTGCTGCTTCTGGCAATGGAAGCAAAACAGGTGCAGAGTCCCCCATGAAGTCATTTAACACGCCATGCAGCCCATCTGATACTGAAGCAAACCTTTTGAGATCGCCAATCAATTCAAATAATTCGAAACACAGGTCTACCATTTCAAGCTCTTCATCTTCCTCTTCTACCCCATTGCTGGAGAAACAATCACGAGGTTTCAGCAGATTCTTTTCCTCCAAAGGGAAGAATGACCATTAAACCTGCAAGCTCGTAGGCATAAAAGTTGATGGTTGAGGAGGCCACTTAATAATAATTAGAAGAACCAAAGTTTACAAACCTCATACTTCTTTGGATTTCACATTCTGAAATGATGCTTTGGACGTCAAAGTAATTTTGTAACTAATGACTGTATATGCTATCCATATCTGCTATATTTTTTTTCCTCACTTCAATTCCCTTTGTAATTTGCCCAAGTGAATGTGACATAGTTCTAAACTGTTCAATATATTTTGAATGTTATTATATTTGGCAGTTTTTATTAAACGATTATACTCTTCATTTAATCATTTTCAAGCAACCGAATAGCAGATAAGAATTTTAAAGATATTTTTGGTTCTAAATTTTGTTGTTATTGACAGAGATAAAATTTTTCTTTATAGTCTTATCCTCCAACAATTTCAATAACAGATTCTGAAAGAAGTTTCTGACAGATTATTTGCCGGTTTAATGGGCTTTACTGTAACCCCAAAAGTGCTCGGGCCATCCAGAAATGGTGGACTATCTTTTCAGCCTGTTTAGTTTTTAGCTCCATTTTTCTGACCCACCTATAATTTACATCACTGATTGATAGCAAATTGCGTCATAGATTTTGGTCCCCTCTGTCCTCTTGGGCTCGCAATTCAAGACTCCAGTGTTTGATGCTTTGATATCCGAAATTTGGTTAACCATTCTATCTGTTCAGATCTTTTTCATTCCAGGAGATTTAACTAGGTACTTGAGTAAAATATCAGGATATCTGCCACTTTTTGGATATTTCCTTTAAGCATTTAATATTGTCCAGAAAATAAAAACCCCAAAACAAAAGAAAAGGTTCCCTGAATTTCTCCAACTTATATAGTAGGTATAGTGAAGAATGCAAACTCATCTAAACTGGTGAAAGGCTGCTTTTCTCTTCTGTATTATTGACGGCAAAAACAGGCCCCTGCAGGCAACTTGCCTTGACTCCTAGAAAAGAAAAGCTTGATCCACCACTGCATATTTTATGTTACACATAAGACAAATTGTTTATCGATATGTTTCTTGGTTTGGGATTTGCAGTTATCAAAGTCAAGTTGCTCAAGCTGAAACAGGTGGAAGAAATTTCACGCTGTTTAAGACCCATGTGCATACTGAAATCATGGATTTATGTCTGCTTATCAATCTTTGAGCCGTTGGAAAGTTAGAACAATCCAATCCCAACTTTTCATCCTATGAATATGTGATTCATGAATTTCTATATATATATATATATATATTATATCTATATGGGCTTGTTAATCAAGATTTGAGGAAAATCATGCCTTCAATCATGCAGTAGTATTAGTCTGAATATTAAAACATAATGTGACACTGTTACCACTTTGATTTGATGCAATCACGTGGAGTTCTACTGATTATAATCCAAACCTTTTCTATTATTAGCTTTACCAATATACTTTATTTGATTATATGATATCATGGTTGATCACACTTTCGAGTTGCTCCTTGCTGTTAAGCAATTGGTTTGAAAGTATTTTATCCACTAATCACGTACGTTTTGCCCTTGAAACAAGTGACAGCTGCAAGATCAACACTATAATTGTACTATAAGATCTATTGAAGGATTTTCCTTTTCCATAAATGAAATGAATATGGACATATTATGTAAGAAAATTTATCCTAAATTTTGAAGGTTTTTGGACAGAAAGAGGTGAGGAGATATATGACAGTTATTTTATTCAAAGATAAACCTTACTTTTAGGAAGGAACTAAAGGACTAAAGGAGACAAGATTAAGCATGAATGAATGAATTAACAGGAAAAAAACCGCTGAAAAGACATGGAAGAATAAAGTAGTTGGAATAAAAAAAATTCACCAACTGTAGTTTATTACTCAGAAGATTTGAATCTGACCTTTTTAGCAAAAACAGATCCCTATCATACTATTATACATGTGAACCCTTTGTCTTCATTTTCATGAATTTGATTGATGGTGGTCCCCTGGTCACAGCAGAATATATGGAGTATATTTTGATGTTTTAGCCAGAACATTTGAGTGCATTTTAACCCATCACATTCAAGATCACGAACATCATTAATTACTTAATTCATGTACTAAGTAAAAGATGATGAAAAAAAAGGCAGAAAGGTAAAATATGTAAAAATCAGCCATTCAGGTGAAATCTGAGGGCTAGGTTTTATCGTATAGTATGATATATATATAAACTACTAGTATATTATTATATAGTATGATTGGAGAATTCCGAAACTTGCAAGTCAGTCCATGATTGGATTACGTATTTAAAGAAAAAAAAAAAGGGAACCAACTAAAACCTGATTCAGTGAACAAGATAACAGAACAGGAATTGTTTTGTAATGTTATCGTGTTGCCTAGTTAGAGCTAGTTCTGAAACGTCGGAGATAGGAAGCCATGTTCTTTAATTACGACACCTGAAACTTCTGCCAACAACAATTCAATGGTTTAATAATTTGCTTGCTTATAATTAAAAAAAACACTAATGGAGAGAGAGAGAATCAAAGAGTACTGTATGAACTAATGGTCAACAAATTTTCCGAAAAAAATTGTTGTCTCCACTAAGGGTTTTTTCTTTCTTTTTTTTTTTTTTTTAAAGGATTTTGAAAGTTAGAAACCCAATGAGTGGAAAATCTGCCATGCTTGTTATCTGCTTGTGAATAAACTTTTAGCACTTAATTTATATGGTTATTGCGGACAATATCAATTGCCAAAAGCATGGTAATTCAATTAAGATAAGGAATTTACAATATTAAAAGAAAATTATTGATCGGTTAATTAAGATGATATTTTCAAAAAAATGAATGCAAAAACTTTTACCCCTTTTCAAGAAATTATTCAAGTACCATTTTTCACTAAAACAAAATTATGTACTCAAGAAAATGTTTAAAAAAAATTCAAAGGCAGCCTAGTCCCCTAAGCAAAAGCTATATATATATATATATATATATATATATATCAAGGAATCAACCACCCACAATATATCTCGAACGGCCACATCCATTCCTTTAAATGAGCATTTAAACTAACACCAAATCCATCAATCTTCCTTTTTTTAGAATTTTTATACCTAAGCAAAAGCCAAAACAGCCTAAACAAGGCATTGTTGGAGTCCTCCATTGCTATCTGAGGTTCACAGTGTCCTGTCAGTACGGTCTAATTTTTTTTTTTTTGTTGGAGGTGGTCCTACAAATAAAAAAAAAGAGCTTGGAATTTTATATATGTTTAGATTAGAATAGATGATGAACCACGAAATGAAGGAATGCAGTTTAAAAGGATAGCCCTAAAAGCATGAGAGTATGATCTTGATAAAGATCTTAATCCCATCATTTAATGGCTGCAACAAATCAGTGTGTTATATCTATCAAAATTTTATTGTAGAGTTGGGGCAAGTTGGTCTGCTTTCTGTGCCGTTCAAGTCCAATTTGTGGGTCATCACTTTACTTGACTGAGGCCATTGCTGATCATCCTCTCTCTCTATATATACGAGATTTCTTCTTTGTGGGTCCCCATCACATGGCAATCCTAGATGGATATTGATTGATCAATGTGGTTTAAACGTTTATGAGTTTGAAAGGAAGAGCTTAAATAGTAACTGATGAAGGTGATGAATTCGGTGAGCAGTAAAAATGAGAGTTAAAGAGTGAGTTTTGGATGGAATCAAGTGACAAAAAAAAAAGAAAAAAAAGCTAAAAGATAAAATATTTTACAGACTCCAATGAGAAGATGCTGCTGTTGCTGAGAAGACTCTGCATATGTTGTGGAAAAGAACTGAAACTTGCATGGGATTGGAGGTTGGACATGACCAATGGAAAGAGCTTTTTAGCTTTTTGCTTACCAATGTACAAACATAGTGAGGAAAATCCTTTCCGGTGTTTCAGATAAACCAGAAACAAAACCAAACAAGTTACTATAGTGATAGTTTTAGTTTGTTTACGAAACAAAGCAAGTTACATTTGTTTTTAACTAATCTTCTTTCCTTTGTTTGATGAGTTTTGCCTTCATCTCTGGCAAAATATTCCAATGAGCTGTCAGTTACATATCGTTTTTAACGGCTTAACTGTTGAGTTAACCAGAAACAGGCGTAGGCATAAAAAAAATATATCCGAAAGCTAAGAGACAAAACCCTGAAAACTGGTGAGCGTGTGCCTAACCTGCGCCTAGTGCTCGTGCGTGCAAGGGACAGATTGAGAGAGCATGCGCATGCGATGTGAGCACAAAGATGCAGAACAAATTGTAGCATATTGATAGTTCTCTTCCCTCACAGGGTACATTGATAGTTGATATACAATCCACACCTCAGTGAGGAAAATTTTCGAACTTTTTCAGATTTACAAGTCTAAAACCCGATAAATTAAATAATATTCATGGGTTTTTGGGTCAGAGTTACTCAAACAACTCGGTGAAAGAAAAGGAAAAACAACTTCTCAGAAATAGTTTATCATCAGGCCTAACCATTAACCAGCCTCATCTTGAAGATTGCTAGTTTTTCTTTCATCTGAGCATGGATGTTAGAGACCGGAAAACAACTTCTTCACAAGGAATGGTGAGCCCCATGTCGTGATCAAAACCAAATTCTTCTTCAGCTCGATGAAGCAAGCTTTGGAACTCCGGTCGGTTCAAGAAAGAGATAGGAACAATGTATCTGCCTCTGTTTTCACCAACATATACAACAAAATGACCTTTTGGGACATCCAAAGGGAGTCCTTGTTCATTGCAGCTTTGTTTCTTTCCTAAGCTGGAGCATCTTTTCAGGATTTGCTTGATAACTGCTGTTTGAGGCAATTTGTTTGATTTCCAGATAGCCATTTTCTTTCTTTCGAAGTGTAAAACTTGTGGGTAAAATGGAGAGACGGATTTTTCTTTAAGATTTGAGAGGAAAGAGCAAGAGAGAAAGAGTTTAGAGAGGTATTTGAAAGAGTGAAGTGGGTTGGAAGGGGTATATATGGTAAGCTAATAGAATTCAAAAGTGTGAAACAAGGTCACGTGGGGTTGCCGGGACAAAGGACAGACCATGGGTTTTTTGGGGTCTGTGTGAGCTCACAGCACGTACCTGAAGGCAACCCAATTAGGATTACACCCTTTTGTTGCCCTCCCAATGGATATCATGGTCCCTCTCTCTCTCTTTCTTGGCTTCAACCGAGTAATTCTTCCCTATGCAACTGTACTTTATTACTTGAGAAGTAGCCCGGCCCCTTCAATTTCCCGTATTTCGTATTCTTACATTTACTCTTCAAACTCTTTCCTGGATTCATATCCTTTGCCTTGGAGAAAAATAGTAATCTGCAGTAAAACATTAATTCATTTCTTGACACTGTGCTATGCTACAGCAACATGTAACTTCTGAGTTCTGAACAAGTCACGCCAGCTTACTTTCTTGCTATCCTTTAATTGAAATTTTCCTGTTTGGGATGCTAATTTTCAAGTTTCAAAGTTAAAATGATTTTGCTTCTGTGTTTTGTCCCCTTCTTTATAGTCTACCTGACACACATTTCCATTTTCTTGTTCAAAGCTTTGAAAATCCCATCATGAAAGTTAATTGCATTTTGTCTTGTAGACATTTATCTTTAGTATAAGTGAAGAGATTGTTCATACTAATAATTTTGAAGATAATAAAATACTCCATGCCCGGATATGGGAAGCAATGCCTTACCAACTTCAAATTTTAGTGAGAGGAAATGCAATCAAATGGATGAATAAGCAGGGACATTAGGTGAATCTCCCAAGGCCAATTCTTCCCCCCTTCTCTTCTTTTTACAACTGTCTGGTTTATAATTCAGAGGTCAATAATAACTGTACTGAAGGTGTACCACCACTTGCTGCTGTGGCCAGTAGGTTTTTGCCCCTTCTTAATTTTTGAGCTTATGATTCTCAGAATCGATCGGCAGATGAAAAAGCAGTGATTCACATGCATGTACGTGCTTGCTATAGCAGCATGAATGTTTCTTTTTGCAGGGTTTTGATGCCCAGCTTATCGACTCAAATCATTTCATCATTTGCTTTATAATTGGCTATTGGCTATTCATGTTTTATATACAATTGCATGCATGGTTTTGTCTCATCTGCTATCGTTTGCCAGTCTCCAGTTTCCCCTCCCAATTTTTTTTTTTTTTTTATGAAAAGAGCTTTCAGGATTCAATAGTCTCACAAAGTTAGCATCAAATCCTACAAAATTATTTTTTCTTAACATGACTAGAACTACTCAAAGTTGATGTCTAGAAATCAACCATTTTGATCAAGGTTCAAGGATATAGTTACACACTATCGAGTACTCTCAATAAAATGTGACCAAAGTTTTCTTATGTTAAAGTTTGGGAATAAATGTTTGGAGCTATTTCTATAGACATTAGGCATAAAAATGTCCCACTGGACCACAGTGTTGAAAATTAATGGCAGAAGAGATCGTAGACTTTGGCGCTTCCAAACACATATAACCCCATCGTCACTTCAACCAATCATTTTGAAGCAATCGTTTGTTGCGGTAAGTGCATGAATTTACATAGATAAATTTCCAGCAGCCAGATGCAGACAGCTAATATCTGCCCTATAAAGTGAAGTTATTATTTCATTGTCCTTGTAGAAACCCCAAAGTGAATCTTCGACCAACTTTCTCTTATCATTTATCAAATGGATTAGGGTAGAAGATAGGTAAATTAATTTATTGCTGTTAAGTTAATACATACCAGAGTCAAGTAAATAGAATAGTCCCAACTTCCTAATGACAATATGATTAATTCGAAACCAAAAAAAAAAAAAAAGAGGACGAAAGAGTTCTTTTCTTGAAGATCTCTTGGTACATGGATTTTTATGGACTTTGGTATGGTGGTCCTTGAATTAGGCTAGCAAAAGAACTACCAAATATGAGCTTAGTCATAATCAGAAATAAATTTGAACTTAAATGAGAACCGCTTGTCTCTCTTCCATATCTACCCCTTCTTATGATCCAGGGCTCTCTCCCCCATGTTCTGAGGTCCAGAAAGAGCCAGATCCGGTATTCGGTTCTACCCAACTCGTGCTCTACTTAATGCTTTGTTACAGCTACCTACGTACGTTACATTCTGGCACTGTACCCTTTTTTGTATATCTTCCCTGGCCCCGTTTAAATCACACAATATTATTTAGCTATATATATTGTTTCCAAAAAAAAAAAAAACAATATATATTAGTACATTGATGGTAGATGAATTCTTTACGTAATTAATGTTACAAGCTCCTTGTTTTAATGTTTGAGAGCAAACGTGCTTTGATTTAAGACAAAGAAGGTGTATTTATGTAAAATTTTCTCTTATTTCCAACCAGGTATGGTAACTTGGTTTCCTGTTTAGCAGTATAAAATGATCGAAGGATTGAACAGAAGGCAGAACTCATGGGCCAAATGATGGCGTGCAGTTTTTCAAAGGAACTGACACCATGTTCAGTGATTGAAATTTGTTTAATGAGTGGAGTGTAAATATATATATATATATATATTTATATATATAAAATCCATAAATAATCATATTTAAAATTAGATATATCAATATTACCCATAATCAATTAAGAATTTGATTTTATATCTGAATGAGATAATGATATATATTATATTGTGAGTATAAAAATGAAAATAAATATAATTTTAAATTTTTATTAAATATGATAATAAAGATGAATAATATAAGTACTCTAAGTACTCGTATCTTACATATTTATATATATATTTAGTAAATAGATTTTTTATTAAATAATATAAATTATTATTTTAAATTAATTAAAAATAATATATTTTTATTGAAATATATATATATATATTAAAAAATCACTTAAATATACAAGATAAAAATAAATTTTTTAAAATTAGTTTTTATTTTTTAAAAAAGTCAAAGATATGTGAATTATCCATACTCGTTAAATATTCGTGAGGATGGAGATAGAGATAAATTTAAAATATTCATTGAATATGAATACGATAATTGATATAATATAAAAATCTACTGATGAAGATGGATATGGGTAATGCTCTATCTTACTCATTGAAATCCCTATTTAGCATGTGGTTCAGATAAGCAAAAATGGGGAAATTAAGATCTTAAGAGAAAGCAAATTGCATGGAAAGAGATCAAACTTTTAACATAAATATAAATATATATGTATATATATAGACAGCAATAAACATATTCCAAACCGTCAAGAAAAAGATAGACCGACTTCACAAATCTATAAACATAAAGGAATACTTGATAAACCAGAGGCAAATAGCCTACCCAATCTATTCTAATTAAGGAACCAGCTCGACCATATATATTCATGGAATTTCAAATGTGACACCATTTATGAAAACCATACATAACCAAGGAAATTGAAAGGATAAACTATTTGAAAACCTAATCTTAAATGAAAAGAGAAGGGGAAGGTCCCATTTTACAGCTAAGGCCATGAATCGATCCGGAACGCCAAGGACTTACGGATGTACCTTAAACAGAGATGGAAGCACATGTATTGTGTAAGATGAAGGGAACAATAAATTTCATGTTTTGTACGATGGTCTACTACACAACTGTGTTATTATCTGTTGGTGTTTTGCATCCCATTTCAGGGAGCAACCTTCAATTGGAGGGGGTCCAAGCCAGCTGGGTGGATGATTTGTTGTGTATGGGCCAGGGGAGGGGACGTCCTAACGATGCACATTGGAGTTTCGATGAATTTTGGGTAAGTAGTAATTGCGCCATGGGGAGACCTAGAAGTCAGACGTTTTGCTTGCTGAAAATTATGACTATGGCTAAATTTTATAGCCCCCACATGTCAGGGATAGAGCAGGAGATAAGGCCCGTATCCTTCGTACCTTTGTTTTAGGTCGAAAATTAGTTCGGATGGGAGTTGTTGTTAAGATGGGCGAGCCCAAGATGAGTGGAAACCCATCATCAAACCGCATTGATGTGGATGATTTGATTAAAGCAGCAATACCAAAAGCATAAAAGTATGCTTCGAAATGTTGAAATTAACTACCGGAGCTGCTGAAATTAGGCTGAAATCTGAGTAGTGCTCAAATTGAAACCATAGCACTCTTTCCTCAGTTGCTGTAATAAACTTGCTACAAAATCTAAATATTAAATTATGCATCTAAGAAGATAGAACAGCTGGCTGCTGTTTTGTCTCCTCTGCTTGCAAACTTCCGTAATATTTGACAAGGACTTCCCATCCTCCAGGGCACATAAAACCGTCAGGAGGGTTCTCACCAGTTCTTGCATAAATTCGCATCTGCAGCAATACATTTCAAAATTATTTACGACTTGGAAATGCCAGTGAAAGTAAGTTCAACATTTCAAACAGTCATACAGAAAATTTCGACGTCAATATTGATGCTTACCAAAAAAGGATAATATTAGGGGAAGTTTTCGTAGTAGACATGGGCATCCAATCCAGAGTCAGAATTATTATAAATAATGGAAGATGTTTCGAGGATGAATGTAAGGTTTATAAGTACTGAACAATCTGAACTTCTCAATATATGCAGCCAGATCATAGACTATAAACTTGTGAAACTACCATCACAGCCATACACTATGTCATAGACCCTCATCATCATAAATTTCTTCACCAATTTATTTTTTTTCAGATGAAATGTAATGAATTGTTTCTAACCAGTTCGTAATATTCTTTTGTAACCAAATACAAATTAAAGAACTAAAGTTAAATCCAATAAGTTTCTAAGTAGACCCCTTTTCCCTTAGTAACCTTCCACTGCAGAATCTCAAAAGCAATATGTGAAGGTAGATTTGAGCACCAAGTGACAACCAAGACTAATTGACTCAACAACAAGCATCAATTTAGTTTAATATGTAATTCTGCACAAGACTTATGATTGTTATAAAATGATGAAGCCTGAAACACCATCAAAATCTAGAAAATCCAACACTTAACTTGGTTCCAGATATGAAGAGGAAATCTTTGGCACGTGAAGGATAAAAAAATGCCATCTTCTTTGCCACTGTGTCATATGCGGCCACCTGCAGACCATAATTCAGGGAAATGAGTGCAAGAAGGAAATAAAAGGCACCATTTTAGCAAAATGCATTCCCGTTGAGTGGTAAAAGTTTCTCTTATGGCACTGCTTATTGCCATCTGTTAAAGATTAATTAAGCTGAGAGTTACTAGAAAGGATCAGATTGTATATTCTGCAAAAATTTGAGTTACCATTTGATAATACTCTCACTAAGGGGATTAATTTTCATACATCAAAGATCTATCAAAAGTGTGGCATAACCCATATAAACTTTTGAAATATCAATCAAGAATACTTAGTCGAGTTTTTATATGATAAATGCATATAGTACTACAATTAATGTTATACCAGCATATACGTTACCTACCCTAAATGGCAAAATGTTAAGCTTTTCCAAGCCAGGAGCCATGCTTAGCACTTTTTTCCCATGATCAGGATCATACAAATCCCTCTTCTGTGTTGGGTGACCTATACCAGCAGGATCACGACCTACAATATAGAAATTAGCCCCAGCATTTATCCTTGCCTTGGCATGCCACTGTACCTCTGTTGGACCTGCATAATGCATAGGTGATGGGAACATGGCCATAATGGTAGTCTCAGGGTCAAGGACTCCATCTTCAAGGACCTGAACATAAGTGAAATTCAACTATAATTTCCAATATCATAATAAAATTATTAGGTTTAGTTCCAAAATGCATGTCATTCTAACAGAGAAGCTAATCCCTACAGAAATTGTAAAGTTTCAATACGAAAAGAATTCATTTATTTGAATGCTAAACACCATACAAGAAAAACATCATAGATTCAGCTCAAATTCAGAGCTATGAAGAACATATGCATTAAAGAGTGTGCACATATCGTGTCATTAATGCAATTATCCTTAATCTGGATAAAATTATTAGTGGCTATAAAGAGGGATGATGGGAAAAACCTTGCTGTGTTGTTCCATCCGAACATCCAAGGGCACATCATCAGCCTTGGTGAAACCACCTAAAGGATGAAGCAATAGGATTGGATGTTTGAAACCTGTTTCTAAAAGTCGTCTCCGAGTATCATTCATCAATGGTGCACGTCCATTATGCACAGGGTTTCTTAACTGAAAAGCAAAAACTGCATCAGCCTTGCGCCTATCAAATTCTTTCCGGAGTTGCTTGGGGGAAAGTCTGTAGTGATCAAGCCCATCATTATACATGATGGGCTTTTAAAACTTCCAGATCACCTCCAATGAGCCAGTTTCCTGCTGGAGTAATGACTTCCTCAACGTACGGCAATCCTGGTGCAATTGTTCCCCATGTTCTAGCTATTCTTTCTTCTTTGTTATGCTTGTATACTTGAATGCTGCAATAAAAGTATAGTAACATTTAAAATTATTTTCAACAACACTAGATTAACCGGTTTGAAAACTTGCCAGTAAAATTTTATCTTGCATGATACAAATGACAAATATATCAAAAACCAAGCAATTAAGCACATAAACCAACAAGATTCCTTGAATGCTTATCTAACATAATAGATCAAATTAAACGAGCCGAAATTCTAAACCAAGCTTATATGTTAAGGTTTTTTCTAACTTTCATTCACAAACTTAAAATCTAACCAGAAAATAATAACAATAATAATACTAAAAATAAGATTAGATTATCTAAATATACAACGTCGATTGTCACATGCATGTAATAAAACATATCCATAAAAAAGAGGTTAGAAAAAGTATGAACCTCCTGAGAATGGCGATCAAGTGTCCGCCAGGCCCAACCAACCCAACATCGGAAGAAGACCCGATTCCCTCCTTAGTCTCATCATCAATAGCCAAAACAATGGGAAGTGACATGTTGACAATAGACCCATCTTTCATTCTCAAAGAATTAAAATGTAAACTTTGCAAATACTCATCTTCCCTCATAAACCCTTTCAAAGGACTAGCCTATCCTTCACTAATTACATGCACCCACTCCACATCGATCTTCCTCGCCTTCGGCATTGACTCAGCCTCAACCGTCTTCGCTTCCCTTTCACTCTCTGGCACAACCAAATCGACCAGGACCCCGCCATCTGGCTCGATCAACGAGCTCTTGATCACGGAAGTCGAAGAAGACTGAGCCGGAGCTTCCATTTTTTTTCAGTTTGTTAGAAGTTGATGTTAAGGGGTTAAAATGGTAAATCGTCTTTGGTCGGATTTTGGTCCTGAAATTAAGGTAAGCGGTGGAAGTGAAGTGTGCTTTAATTGTTAGAGACATGATCGTCGGGATTGTGAGAGTTGGTTCGAAGAATAACCTGTTAGAGAAGTACAGTGAGATCCGAATAAACTGGGGACAACAAAAGTTGAGGCTTTAAAATTGGCGAACGTCTTTGGTGTTGGTGGTGGAAGAAAGAGCTTCTGCCTGGGAAAGAGATCCACACATTTGCCTCTTTCACTCGTTTCGTTTCGACTTTCGTGTTTGTGGACGGCAGTTGGTTGCCGGTCTACGGTGGCGTACCGGTGGGATGCACCAGACCAGTGGCTTTAGATTCAGAAGTAAAAACGAGTACGGGCTAACAAGGCCCATTTAAAAAGGTGGAAAGTAACTCGTAGCCCAATCATGACCCAATAATTCTGGGCTCCACCGTTTAAAAAAGGTTGAACTGCGTGTATTACAAAAAACCAAACCTTCGACTAGCATGTATAATATTTGATTCTTAAACAATCAAGTGCACATTAATGGGACAGAAGAATAAAACAATATACCATAAAAATAAACATTATGACTGTGAAAGAGTGATGTTTAATTAAAAGTAATTAAAACCAATACTTCAATAATTTGAAGTTTTAAGATAAAATTAAGCTTACGATATTTATTAAAAAAATATATATTTGAACAAGTTTCAAAGATATTATCTATATGTCAGTTATTGTAATCTAGTCTTGCTCACAAATAAATAAAGTATAAATGTATTAAAATTAATTTGAATAATGTAAATCATATGATAAATTTTATTTTACTCTTACACTTAACTACTTCATGTGTTTTCACTATTTTTTTTTCTCATTTAAATGTTGAAGTCATCAGGTGCATCCCAAAATTTTTATTTGGACATTTCTTTAATAATGTTTTACACATACCATTTTGCTTGGCCAGGTTGATCAGATCAATTGACAACTTCAAATAAATAAAGGTGCAAAATTTTTTTCGTTGATTTTGCCGGTACTCATTTTTTCCCTTTATTCGTATTTATTATTTTAATTTTATAAAATATAATTGAACATCGTATTTATTATTTTAATTTTGTAAAGTATAATTGAACATCGTAAAATAAATTATCATCCATTGTACATACTTGACACTTTATTATATGGTATTTGATATTTATTACAAATAATACGATAAAATTCAAAGAGAAAACAGTTTTTTGCAATTCACAATGCATATTATTTTTATTTTTTATGAGTCTGTAGTTCACTAGTTTGAACCCACTCTACGTATTTTAAATTCTTATAATAATAAAAACAAATTAAACTTACACTTTTACTAATAAAATTTCCTTTAGAATTTATATAATATAGATGTGATTAATGTGAGATTTTTAGCATTTAATAAATTGGGCATTCTACTTAGATCTGCCCCATTTGCCAAAATAAATACCGGTAATATTTATAAAGCTAGGAGTTTTTTTATTACAACAAAAATAAATTTTCCTCTAAAATTGGTTACATCAATTCAATCACCAATGTCACAGACAACGAAGATACCGTTTGATTCAGATAAAAAACCATGGGCCCCACCTCCAAATCCACATATCTACCCTTCGATATTTTGGTCTGTCACGCAATCATCTCACTGCCACCTTCTAAGTCCTCGAGTCAAAGCCGAGCGAAGAGTGTATAAATCCAAAAAAAAAAAAAAAAACTATTATCTAAACCAACCTAAGTATAAAGGCACAAACACCCCTATCCCTCTTAAACTCTCCCGCTTCTCTCCCAAATTTCATAGGGGCATTATTGTCCCATCACTAATCCCTTTGCCCTATTTCTATGTTTTGCCAAACAGATCCACAAAGAGGCCAGAAGGCTGAAGCAATAAATAAAACGCGAAGCTAGCTGATTTTTTTCCCCTTATTTCACATATTTGTCAATTTTAGGGTTAGGGTTGGTGTTTGGGATTCGTCATTGTGGTCGATTTTATTAGAGATCCGCGAGAGATTGGAATTGGCAACGATTGGCAATGGGTGTTCCAGCCTTCTACAGATGGTTAGCGGAGAAGTACCCGCTAGTTGTGGTGGATGTTATCGAGGAAGAAGCGGTGGTGATCGATGGCGTCTCGATTCCGGTGGATACGAGTAAACCTAACCCTAATAGACTCGAATTCGATAATCTTTATCTCGACATGAACGGGATCATTCATCCTTGTTTTCACCCCGAAGACAGAGTAACCCTCTCAACACATTAAAATTTTCAGTATTATATTTCGTTGAGATTGTTAGAATGGATGTAATTTGGTTAATTTGATTTCCTCTCATGCAGCCTTCGCCTACAACTTTTGATGAAGTATTTCAGTGCATGTTTGATTACATTGATAGATTGTTTGTTATGGTTCGCCCTCGAAAGCTTTTATATATGGCCATTGGTGAGTAGTGCTTCTCTTAGGCTGAAAGATGTGTTGATATTTTTGACATGCAGATAAAGTGTACTTATATTTATCTGATGATACTAACTTTTTATCTGGAAACACACGGTAGATGGCGTTGCCCCTCGGGCTAAAATGAACCAACAGCGATCTAGGCGTTTTAGAGCAGCAAAAGATGCTGCTGAGGCGGTATGTTATCTTATCGATGCTTGGGTTTTTTATTTTTGTTTGTTTCTTATGCTAATTTGCCTAATGGATGAAATGGTAGGTCTTAAAGATTTTGTTGGTATAGATATTTCATATCTCCCATACTTTAATGAAAGAAATTGTCGCAAAAAAAGAAGCCAATTTGGTAATAATTTTGTTCTTGTTAACTTTCCTTTTGCAGGCAGCTGAAGAAGCACGACTTCGAGAGGAGTTTGAGAGGGAGGGCAGAAGGCTTCCTCCTAAAGAGGAATCACAGAATTTTGATTCAAATGTTATTACACCTGGCACTCCATTTATGGCTGTTCTGTCAATTGCTTTGCAGTACTATATCCACCTTAGATTAAATTATGACCCTGGATGGAAAAATATCAAGGTAGTATCGATGTTATGGTTCCTTTTTTTTTTCACTTTATTTTGACATGGTGCAGAGTTTTTGCCTTTTCTCTTATTTTCATCTTTTTTGAAGGTTATTCTATCTGATGCCAATGTTCCTGGTGAAGGAGAACATAAAATTATGTCATATATACGGCTTCAAAGGAACCTTCCTGGTTTTGATCCAAACACACGCCATTGCCTATATGGTTTGGTATATTTCTCCTTTCACTATTTCCATCTTGGATTTCAATTTTTCTATTTAAATTTTTGCGTTTGTTCTGTTTGTTTTCTTTGACCAACTTTACTGGACTAAAATCATGTACTCTGCTAATTGCTGGCACTTGACAGGACGCTGATTTAATTATGTTGGCCTTGGCCACTCATGAAGTTCACTTTTCAATTCTTCGTGAGGTTTGAATCTTTTCAACTTCCAGATATCTGTATTTTTTGGGGTATAGATTGCTTGAAATGTTGTCTGATCTGTTTTTCTTTTATTTTGTAACTACTATCTTAGGTTGATTATTTTACTTATTTCTAGGAATAAGTGGATCTTACAAGTTAAATGATTTTTTTGTAAGAATGTTTGGGTATTCTATCATCCTTTTCCCTCTTGGCCCATAAGTAACAGGTTTTATGGAATGCTTTCAGATTGTCTTCACCCCTGGACAAGATAAATGCTTCCTATGTGGTCAGATGGGCCATGTAGCAGCAAATTGTGAAGGAAAGGCAAAGCGGAAGGCTGGAGAATTTGATGAGAAAGATGATGGAAAAGCTGCGGCCAGAAAGCCATACCAGGTAAGTTTTAAATTGAATTTACTTTTGAAATAATTATAATAAAATCTTTCCATAGATTGTAACTTGTTATTTGCTTCATCTTTGCAGTTTCTAAACATATGGACACTTAGGGAGTATCTGGAATATGAGATGAGAATCCCCAATCTTCCTTCTGAAATTGACTTAGAACGCATTGTGGATGATTTTATATTCATGTGCTTCTTTGTTGGCAATGATTTCTTACCTCATATGCCTACACTAGAGATTCGTGAGGTTTGTATATGGTTGAAGTAATTTTTCTTCTGTTAGCTTATATTTTTATAATGATTTTGTGAATGGAAACTTTAGATTTCACATAAGAAACTGATGTTTTAATAGGAAGCTTTCTCTTTTCTATTTGTTAATTTACAGGGTGCAATCAACTTGTTAATAGCTGTATACAAGAAGGAATTTAGATCAATGGGTGGTTATTTAACCAATGGAAGCCAGGTGCCTGTTATTCTTATTTGTGTTGGCTATGTATTATTCCTATCATCAAATCTCATCTGGTACACTAACGCTTTTGACCGGATGGTTTCTATTTCAGCCAAATTTGAGCAGGGTAGAGCATTTTATCCAGGCAGTGGGATCTTATGAAGATAAAATATTCCAGAAAAGAGCACGATTGCATCAGGTATGTTGAGTTCAGGATCAATATAAAAAAAATCGCTTATTCCGGAAAACTTGCTCATGGTTGAGTTTCATTTTTCATTAAAAAAAGGGTGGGGTCTTGCCTTGTGGTTTGGTGTTCCTTTTTTAATTTTATGTTGCGTGTGGTATCTATTATGTGTTCAATCTTCTTTCATTGGTCGTGCAAGAGATGAGATTATCACCCAACTCTTGTAAAGTTAAACTATCATGATTTTAACCCACTTTGTCTATTATTTTTCAGAGGCAAGATTACCTATTGTGTAATTGAATAACTTTTGAGTCAAGATTATCTCTTAGCAGTTTTATAGTTTTAAAACTAGAGTGTAGGCCATTGAACCTTCAATGTGTCTATGACTCTATATGCACCTTAAATGAAGCGTTTAACTTGAGGATTCTTGGAATAAATGTATTATATTTGAACTCTACTTCTTTCCTCATCCTTTGAGCCGGTAAAAGAAATCAGTAGTAATTTGTTCTATGGTGGTATCATACAGCGTCAAGCGGAAAGAATCAAGCGTGAAAAGGTACAAGCTAGAAGAGGAGATGATGCAGAGCCTCAAGTTCAACCTGATTCTCTGGTTCCAGTTGCTAGATTTCATGGTTCCCGTCTTGCCTCGGGCCCTTCACCTGCTCCATTTCAGCAAACAATGGAGTGTAATGGTAATGAATCCTCTGGCCGGCCACAAAAAGTGCGACGCACATATTCAGGGGGGACTATCGGTGCTGCTATTGTTGAAGCAGAGGATAGTATTGAAACAGATGTATGTTTTCCTCCTTCAGGAGAGGCACTTTAATGTAATTCTGACTCCTTCAGCCATTTTTTAGGACTCATATTACATGGGCTAACCTATGATTTTGTATGGGCCTTACTGGCAAGGAGTTAAGAGAGTATCAACTATTCTGCTTTATCTTTTTAATAGACTGTTTTATGTTAGAATAATGGCACTTACTATGCTGTTTCTTTCTTCCCATTGGCATCAGGTACATGAGAACAAAGAAGAATTGAAAGCTAAACTTAAGGAGTTGATCCGTGACAAAGCTGATGTTTTTAACTCCAAAAATCATGAGGAAGACAAGGTTTGAATATGATGTTATCTATTCACAAGTAATTTATGATTTTCTTATTCAGTTTCTACCAATAATTTGGGTATAGGCAGTAGTGAGATTAGAAACTTAGCTTGAAATTATTTTTTGTTTCAATTTTCAAATTGTATCCTGCCTCCACTCCTCTTACCTCTACCAAGTGGATAATAATACATATTAATTTGTAATTATATGTAAAATTGAATGTGCTTGACCTAGTTTAATAGTTTCAAGTTTTTGGCTGTTGAAAACATGCATGCTCTGATGCAGCATGCGGCCTTACTATAAAAAGCTCTATTGTTTCTCACTCTCTTTTCTTCTCAGAATTTGTTTGCTGTTTTAGTCCATGACTTAGGTATCTTAGCTCTGCTTATATGTAAGTATCTTAGCTGCTTATTTGTTTGTTCTTGTTAGATTAAACTGGGAGAGCCAGGGTGGAAAGAAAGGTATTATCAAGAAAAGTTTTCGGCAAAAACTCCAGAAGAAATGGAAGCAATACGAAAAGATGTTGTGAGTTCATGAATTTTTTGAGGATATTGTATGTTATGTTTTTGAATTATTTCTCTGATAATCTTAAATGCTGGATCTTCTTTTGTTTAGGTTTTGAAGTTCACTGAAGGCCTATGTTGGGTCATGCACTATTACTATGAGGGGGTTTGTTCTTGGAGATGGTGAGTTTCTTTTACATTTACTCTTTTTCTAGAACTGGTTGTAAAGAGAAGTTTGACCAGGTTTTTTTTGTGTTTATTTTTCCCCTCTGGAATGGTTTATATGGATACTTCTGTTGGATTGGATCCCTCTCTATTCACTGACCCCTCTGGGGTCAGTGATGTTGGAATTTTATAAGTTTTTATTGGTCTTGTTGAGCATTTAGTGATATGGTGATGCTTTCTCTCATGTTATATCTATCAGCTTGTGGTTTATTTTTGAATCATTCATAGTGGATATTCTAATTTTGTGCTTAGAATCAGTCATCGTATTCCTTTTTGGATTACTGAGTTGAATTTTTTTCAGCCTCATTGTGCTTTGTTTTGGTGAGAATGATTTGTTGATCAGGATCTCATCTTTCTACTTTAATAGACATCATTCTATGAGTTACCACTGTACTGCCACTAAATTTTGTTGTTTCAGGTTTTATCCTTATCATTATGCACCATTTGCATCTGATCTAAAGGATCTTGGTCAGCTAGATATTCAGTTTGAGCTGGGCTCCCCTTTCAAACCATTCAATCAGTTATTGGGGGTTTTTCCTGCTGCAAGGTACTGATTCTTGTTCCAACTTTGTTCTCTTTGTAAGTTTCTAAGCCAGTAGGATACTAGTAATATATTTCCCTTGCAGTTCCCATGCACTTCCTGAACAATATAGGGAATTGATGACCGATCCAAATTCACCCATTATTGATTTTTATCCGACTGGTATGCAATTTTGCTAAGCAGACAGGCATTATATATATTTCTTCTTAATTTCTTCCATAAGACCTGAAATTTGAATTTGCTCTTTCTATCAGATTTTGAAGTTGACATGAATGGAAAGCGGTATTCATGGCAGGTAGGTTTATCTTTTACTCTCATTTGGTTTAGTTTCATATGCCAAGTGGTTTATTGAAAGTCTTTGGTTTACTGAAGTGGAAATTTGGTCTATTTGTTGTTGCTTTCTGAAGGGTATTGCAAAATTGCCTTTCATTGATGAAGAGCGGCTTCTTGCAGAGGTTGCAAAGATAGAATATACGTTGACGGTATGGCACTATAATCAAGTCATCATTTCATGAGTGTCTTCTACTCTCTCATTTTGTTTAGTGTCTATATGTTCCTGCTTGAATTTTTTTAGCGATGTTGGTTAAATGCTACAGTCTTATGCAGGATGAAGAAGCACGGAGAAACAGTGAAATGTATGACATGCTTTTTGTGGCAGCATCACACCGTCTGTCGGAGCAAATCTTTTCTCTTGATAATCGTTGTAAACAATTGACAGAAAGGCAACGAATTGAAGTCAAGGAGGAAGTCAAACCTGATTTGAGGTGCGTTGGAAAGCTTTAATCATCGTACATTCATATTGCTATGATTGTGCCCCCTCCCCCGTCTTTTTTTATGATTTATTCTAAGTGCCATTTTGGACTGTTGTTAAAACAATGGTAGTCTGTTGAATTTTATTACTCTAATATTGATCTTTGAAAACACTGCAATGCTGCTAGGATTTAATTGGGGATTTGTGCCTTATTATGATGGGAAAATTTTTACAGTTTAATAGTACTATCAATTGGCACTACGAAATATCTATATTGATGGTTTCCTGTCATTATGGAGATAAAAAATACAGCTTCTGCAGGATACGGTGGTTCTTACTTTTCATTGTCAATTATAGAGGTTTCAATGCTCTCTCATTTTGCCAGGTGTTTTAAAGCTATTGTAATGTCTAAATTGTTGGTTTGTAGTTGATGTTCTATCTTAGTTATGTTGATTGCATTCTTTCATCACATGATTCAAATAGCAAGTTTGCGGAAGGGAAAGTTGATGCTGGTATGTATATCTTTTTGTTAGTCATGATAGAAGCTACAAGCTGGTTTATGGTTTTGGTATTTCTGGCTAGTTGTGCTCTATACTCTAGTATTATTCCTTTTAATCTTAATTCTGGTTGGTATGCTGCTTTTGCTGTCTATTAACACAAATGCAGACAGGTGTCGTATGTTTGTATCATTGTTTGTTGAGACATTCATATTCATGACATAGTTTGGCATGCTTGTTTGGAATGATGGTCTTGTGATAGAATTTAGGATTCAAGCTGTCTTGACTACTATGCATTCTAATGGTGAATTTAAGACATGTCCCACTTTTTTCTGATTTATTTAGGTCTGCTTGCAGTGATGGGATGAATGGTTACATATCTCCTTGTGCTGGAGACACCCACCCTCCTATATTCAGGTCTCCAATCAAGGACATGGAAGATATATTGGCCAATGAAGTCATGTAAGTTTCAATTATTGATGCTCTACTAATTTATTGATCATATGCATGGGACTGGTTATTAAATGAAGATACATTAATGCTTTTTGGATGCCTGCTTTTCCAGATGTTGTATATATAGACTTCCAAAAGCTCATAAACATATTACCCGTCCTCCGGCCGGAGTTACATTCCCTCCCAAGGTATGTAGCAGTTGTAGTTCTCTGCTTAATGGGGTGTGTGTGTATTTATTAATTTCTTTTTTAGTAATGTTGTCTCACCTGTAAGTAATTTGATCTAGTCTGCCCTGTTCTGTAACATCTGAACTTATCTTTTGGTTGTATCATTGAAGTAATCTGGTTTTGGTATTGTAGCTGAAGCTAATTTTGTAAATTTGTGAGTATGAGATATGACCAATTGAAACAGCCGACTTAAACATATTCCTCATAAAGGTTTCTTGCTTGGCAAACTCAAGAACTTCTGGATGGCATTATCGGGGCCCTTTCTGGAAAATAGTCTCCACATGCTTCTGTGCAATATCCTCAAAAAGTCATGCAAGAATCAAATTTTTAGTATAAAACAATGTTAGGCTTGTTCTATCCACAAAAACACACCAAAAAGGATGAAAAAAAAGTTAGGATGATTTTTGTATTAGCAATCTTCTAACAAATGAGAAAAAAAATGCTTAGCATGGTTGATTTAGTCATATTACTTTTATTGATATTTTTCAACATTGTGCGTCACAGATGGTGCAATTCAGTGATTTAAAACCTGAACCTGTGTTATGGCATGAAGATTCTGGGAGGAGACCTTGGGAAAATGGAAGGTTGCCTGCATCTGGTCATCTGATGGAAAGGTCAATGTGCAAAAGATCGTATATATTTTTTTCTTTTGAATGTTTTTCGTGCCATAGCGCATGTCTTTTATTGTGAGAAAACAATTATTAACTGTTTACAATATTTTTGCTTTTCATTTCAGGCATAACCCTCCTGCATCTGTTTCTGGCCGGGAAGCATCTCACAGACTTATTACTAATAGCTTACGGTTGAAGGTAGATCATAATGGGTTCAGTAATAACATGCAGGCTCCACCACCATCATCTGCCACCGCTCCCTATATACCACCAGTCAATTCCTATGTAAATTATGGGTTTCCTAACCAGGGACAGCCTAGAATGGTTCCTCCTGGGCAAGATTATTCTAGTGTAGGTTACCCGTTACCTCAGAATCCTCCTTTGCGTCCTCCCAACAGCTACTATCACTACACAAGAAATGACCAAGCAACTGCCAATAATTTGCACTACCCTTCGATCCATCATCAGGATGGTGGATCAAGGCACATGCCTATGGCACAAATGTCAAGTGAGGCTGGTCCCTATACATCTTTTCCGGGTTGTTATGATGGCAACCAGACGTATGAAGCACCTGGAAATGGTAGTTCTCAGCAGTGGGGTGGTAGAATGGCTCCGCAGGCCAACCGGAATGTTTCTGGAGGGTATGGCCTGTATCAGCAAGGTGGATTTAACCAGGGCCTTCATAGAGGGTATGAGCATCAGCAACAAAGAGGTAACCAATTGCATCATCATCAGAGGGGAGATTATCAGCAAAGATGGAGCCAGCCACACGGGGGCAATCAACAGCATGGCAGCAACCAACAGCAAATGGGTAATCAACAACAGAGAGGGAATCCATATTCTGCATTAGACAGGAGAGGTCATCGGAGGCCCCCAGCTCCACCATTTGAGAATAACTACTGAAAGATTCTCTAAGTGCTATTAGGTCTTGGTGTTTGAATTGTTGTATAATACTTGTTGGAGTGTCTAGTGGTTTCTTCTAGAAAAGGGTAAAAAGATGATAATGTATTTCCCCATTTGTCAAGCATTATTTAATTTAGGTTTTTTATTAATGTTGTATTCTTGCCTAAGAATTAAGATGCTCATCAAGGAAATGTGACAGACAGAAGAAATCTGTAACGTATGTTCTATAATATTAGAAAGGAAGGAATTCAATAGGTTTATTTCTGAGAAATTTGTAAAATATTTAGGTAATAATACCCTTGAAATTTAATTTTATTATATATATTTTATCTTTTGCTTGATGAATGGATGTAACAGTCCAATAGATGACATCGAGATCAATAACTTTATAAAGACTTGGGCCGCTTAAAAAAGGTAGAAAATGGAAAAGAGCCTCTCGGTATCAGAAAGACAGAAAGAAAGAATGGCAGAAAATGAGACAGAAAGAATCCAGTAAGCTGCATGTGTGCAGCCGCAGTCGCTGCTTTGAATGGTCAGGTGTTGAGTTTTGACTAATTATCGGATAATTAACGAAAAAAACCTTTTAAATATATTATTAGATTAATGACTCTGTAGCCTCGATTTTTGTAATTTTTTTTAAAAAAATAAAAATAAGACAAGATAATCCAAATAAAAAGAAAAAGAGATTGAATGTGCGGTTGCGGACTCTGTCTGTCTCTTGTTCAACCTCAACCAAGTTCTCGGAATGTCCGAAAACGGAACCGAATCCATTGGCATTTGGTTAAAGACGATGTTCACATCACATGGGCCTTATTCGTTGGTTTATATGCCACACGTGTGATCAAAGTAGTTAGGTTGTCCACTTTTCAAACAACTGTCCATAAACAAGACTAGACTTACTAATTACTACTATTCCAGGTCGAAGGGGAGTCTCATTTGGATCATTGGATTGTGACGATACCACAGGTCACCGCCCTTTATTCTATCACAGTAATAATTTTGTTTTCTTTTTCATTCTTGATCCATGAAAGAAACTCCTTTTTCATTTTTAAGAATAGAGTTTAATTTTGTAGGCAGGTGGGCCATTAATATTTTTATACCAGCCCAAGTCTTTAATATCTCCGTTTCTTCAACACAGCAGAATGAGATTCTGTATTGCTAGAGGTATGAAAAGTATCAAAGCAAATCTAAATTACAAAAAAAAAAAAAAATGCAATGCAATGCAATGCAATGCAAATTTATCCAAAATCCTCTAAGATTTTCTGGTCTGAAACGCAACTAACGTTGATTGAAACTTTCAAAGCAGTGCTTTGTTTGATTTCTAGAACCATCTGTGTTTTATTTTGCTTTGCTTTGTCTTGCGTTGTAGGAAGACTCAAAAGAGTTAGCTGCTTTATACTTTTGATTGTTATGAGAACTAAATTTTTTTTGAGTACGTCAGTCTAAATCTCATGTGCTAATTTTCTTATGTTAAACGTGTACTTATAAACTCGAAATTTATTAAAATTAATTCATGTTATTATTTTTAAAAGTGTAATCGACAAAAATAAAAATTAAAGCTCTACTTTCGTAGTTTTGCATTTTAAAATTTTGATCTCTTTTATAAAACAATAACAGTATCTCTAAGATTTAAGTGAAGCCAAATTAAAATATTAGTTATAACTTTTGATTATATATCGGCTTAAAACACAAGCAATTAACTGTCCTTTCAAGCCTAAACTAGATTAGTTATTTGATATGCACATCACCTACTACTGTTATTAAGGAATCTATCGGCTGCAGGTTCGGGGTAGAGAAATGAGTAATGACCCAAAGGATGAAGCGAAGTCTCCATCCGACAACAGTAGTAGGCAAGGACAGGACAATACAGGATTATTTAGCAAAGCAAGTTTGAAGCGGACAAGGTATCTTAATTACATGGGTTTCGATGGAAATTAATTAATTAATTAAGCAGAAAAACCTCAAATATTATTACTGCTAAATGGAGTCATTAGTGACGATCACATATAATTATGCTGCCTATGAGCCATAATCAAGTTATTAGTAATTAATCTTGTAAACATCTATATGTGTCCGAAATTTATCGAATTGATTTTTTTTATTGTCATTATTTTTGTATTACATTATTATACTATATTATATTATTATTATTATTATTATATTACTATATATATTATATTATTATCATTATTATTACTATTATCATTATTTTTATTTTATTTTTTTATTCTTTTTTTCTTTCTTGTTCAATCGGTGACGAAAATTTTGAAAAACCGAAACTTTGAATTAGCCAAATCAATGAATTTCAATGGTTAATGGTTTTTAATGCAAAATCAAATCACATATTTTTAATTTGATCTAAACTGAGGTCCAAGAGATCTAAAATGAGATTCAGGTAAAATCTAATCTCAAGATTCAAGTCTAGATTGATTTTATCTGTTTTTTAAAAATTCTCCTAAAATGCCTATAAATTAAACTAAAATTCCAAAGAACAAGATAAGGGTTGATTATTGGAGAGGGGTGAACTTGGTGTTTTTTGAAAAAAAATTTTGTACAGTATGAAATTTAAGAGATTTTGATTTTTGAAAATTTTGGATTCGATTTGAAGTTTATGGGTTTAGATTTTGGTTTTTGAGATTAGGTTTACATTTTGGAGGGTTTCTGGAGTAATTCAGAGAAATCTAAAAATTTTTGAAATTTTTATGGAAAATTAAGTTTTTTTTTTTATGAATATTTGAATTTTTTGATTAAATTTTTCGGTGAAGTTTGGATTTTTTGGCTAGATTTTGGTCACTTTTTCAAAAATCAATGAGTTTTTCTAGTTTTCAGTTAAAGTTCCTGACTTTTCTAAAGAGATGTCAGAGTAATTTCGGGGTTAGCGAGAGAGAGCAATGAACTTCTGAAAGAAAAATGCAAAACTTTGCTTTTATAAGGCTCCACAACAACACTGTTTTACCAAGCCCAAATCCATGCGTAACCTGATTGGGATTTGTGCGCCACTCGTAGTTGGATCCTACTCGATTACAGGTTTTTTTTTCTATTTTAATTTTATTTTTTGATTTAATTTTATTTGATTTTTTATATTTTGATTTTATATTTTATATTTAATTTTTTTATCATCTTACTAATTTTTATTACTTATTTCTTTTATTGAATAACTTATTATTTATTAAATGTTTTGTAAAAAATAAAATTTTATTTCCAAAAAATAGAAAAAAATATAACAACAAAATTAAAAGAAACAAAATTAAAAATAACAATCTTTACAAAATAAATTCATGAATTCTACCAAACTATTGAAAAATTTTCATGAATTTAATTTTAAATGGAATCCACCAAACTATTGAGAAATTCCATAAATCATTTTTCAAAAAATGGAAAAAATAATTTTTATCCTCTAAACTATTAGATGATTGTTTTTTAAATTAAATCTTACTAAACTATTGAGAAATTTAATGAAATTTTTCAAAGAATAAATTTTTATAAATATTTTCAAATAAAATCTCACCAAACTATTGAAACATTTGCCTTAAAGTAAATCCCACCAAATTATTGGAGGACTTTACTAATTTTCTTGAACAAAATAAATTCGACGACGGAGCCCTTTCAGAGTGGGACACAAGTCTCCATGAATATTCATGTCGTGAGATAAGTATCTTAAATTGCTACCAAAGTATTGGGGTAATTTTAAGACTAATTTTTAATATTAAATATTTTGGTAAAACATAAATATTTTTAAAGCTTGGATAATTTGAAATTAAACTGATACCATCATTTGGATGGGCGCTGTGAGAGTGATATAATTTTCTTTACGCGTAACCGCACTTTCGAACTTAAATATGGTTTTGTAGATAGATTCGATCAAATGGTCAATCACACATAAACAAAAAAGATTAGTGGCAACTCCTTTAATTCATGTCTAGTGGTAGGTCTACGGATCTATACGTTATGAAAGTTTGGTACTCCACTGGAGAATCGAAAGTCAAGCCAATAAATGATTTCTTATTTTCCAAGCCTTTGCCTAATAAATTTGGGATTATTTTCTTTCTTTCCTATTTACTTCTTTTCATCGCTTATATTTGTTTATTTATTGTATATATCTATTATTCATTTGCATGTACATAATATAAAGCTCTTCATCCCAGCTCTACTCTTAGGGGGGAGTGAAGTACCTATGCCTTCGTGAGATTTCATGTCTCCGCATGGGCTTACGAAACACTCCTACTCAAATTGAACCATTTTCACTTGTAGTCTATGACGGGCGAGGATCAAGGTGCTTTATTAGTCTATAATGAATAATGATGTAAGAAATAATTTGGGGACCCTTTAAAAGAAGTCCAAACCGCATATAGTTAACTTTAAAAGCCTAACCATAGGTAGAGCCATGCTTTCTCCTGTGTTAGAGAATCTTAAATAAGACACATGATTGAATGTTTGTCTTACTTGAAAGATTATGTATTGCCTTTTTTTGTATATATTTGTATACTAATCATGTATGTTGGTCTTTGTATTTATGTATTATTTTATGCCTCATAACCTTTTTCTTTTATCATGCATTCACATCATTAGATTTTTCATAAGGAATATTTTTCATAAAATAATTTTTAACAAGGAAAATCTTAGTTATATCCATGGAAAGCCTAGCAAAGTCTTCTACTGGCCTAAAAAAAGAGCCTAAAGAGTTGAAGCTCATAAACAAAAAGCTAAAAAAAAAAATCCAAACACTGGAATGAGAAAAGGATGGATGAAGGAGTTTGTGCATTGACCTTAATATAAAACGGTCATCCACTAATCAAGAATTGGCCTAAGTTTTGCAAGAAAATAGACAGTTGCAAGTAAAACTACAAGAAAGGGATGCAATGCTCCTTGAAGTGTAAAAGCACACTCAGATGCTAAATGGAGTAGTGATGGAAATCAGAGCACAAATGAAGGTTGTGACTAAAGAATATGAGCAAATGAAGAAAGTATATGCGAAGAAATATAACCAGTTGCAATCTCTGCTTGATTGAATCACTGTACTATTTACAATGCCAAGGACATGGTATAAATGATTGAAAAATGAAAAGTAAGAGTGCCATCAATAGGAGCACATGGTTAAAAATTGATAGATTTTTTTAATGAAATGCAAAGCCAGTATCGACGAGTTATGGGTTTCTTTTCCTAGTAGTTCTAGACTTTTCATGAATGTAATATTGAATTTAGTTAAAAATAGCTTTTAATTCAATAAAAAATTTTTTTATAACAATTTTTATGTGGTAAATTCTCCTTTTGCATTCATACATTTTATTTTTGCATTCATTCTTATGCATAATTTAAGGGTTTTATACATTTT